ATTGACATTGCACCACTATCACCTATTTGTCCCCTGTTTGGTAGGCCAAATTTTGAAACTAAAAAAACAAAACATTGCTGCTGCTATGGCAACGATTTTGCTGACGGCAGAGAAAGAAACGCCGAGCTTCTTGTCGTCTGATACGCGCTGGACAAGCACGTGACGGCCTTCTGAGCCGCAAACGGCAATAAACACCGCTTACATTTTTTTAAAGGTTGTGCTGCTTTTGCATATATTGTTTTTGACCAGCTTTCGGTTGCTGATTTTCTTAGACTCCCAGTACCACAAAACGTTTGTCTGGAAATATTTCTCAGTTGAATGCGTGCGAGCCAGCAAGCTTTGAAGTGGGACACTTTTGTTTGAGCAAGAAAAAGGAGTAGTCGGAACATGCGATTTAGTCACCGTTTTTATTATCAAGTTATTGCAAACGATAAAACTGAATACAAGCCACAATAGCACCAAGCTGTTCATCTCGTACAATAAATACAAATGTTGTTATGCATCGGGTGCACAAACATTATAGAATTCTTGACACAGTTCATCGTGTACAAAATATACTTGCAGGATTCCAACGTTCATTGGCTGTACACAATACAATTATCCAGAAATGACAGCTTATTGTAATACGTTCGTGCATAATGAACTGATCATGCAGCGCCGATGAGCAGCACATCGAGCCCAGCACTACCAGCTGCCTTTTCTTTTTCTATGAAAGTTTCTAGTCGAAACAACTTTCTCTAGCAAGCGACTTTTCTATATAACTCAGCTTGTGCTAATGCACCGTTACATGTTGAGCAAATTCTATTTACATTTTAACACTAGAATACTTCTCAATACAACGCGTAAAGCCTCGTTCAAAGCAGTAGCATTGCTAACATGGCATTATAATACAGAATTATACACCTGTATATTGCACTTGTGCCTCGCACTTTGTAATGATGCACATATTTTCTATCACTGTTTAGATATGAGTATCACAATCCTGCAACAACAAACCCCAAATGTCACCCTGCAGACAGAGCTTTTCATCGAGAACAAGTAACTACAGTATATGCAAGTGTCGATGTTAATAGTCATTGCAAATTGGGTTAGAACCGAGTGATGCACATAGGTATCACGGAACTTGCTCTTTCTGGACATAGAGAAATGTTGACAAAAGCGATCGTGTTGCGCAGGTCTCGTCGTGTCGTCGGCGGCCGCGGAGAATGACGCGGAGCAAATTCAGATCAACTGCATTTAATGAATCAGCCTGCGCACATAGCTCCAAACGGGTCTATTCTGACCGCTTTTCAAGACAGTCCTCTAATATGCCTGAATAATATAAAGCTTACTTTTTTTATAGAGCACCTAAGCCCATCTTCGTGTGTCATGTTGGAAGCATAGGACAAATCTGAGCTGTACTATTAGTTTAGTAATTGGCTTAAGAAAATTTGTCATTTGACTTTTGAAGGCGTCTTAAAAATGGTGAAAGCCCCTAAACTTTGCTGATACACTTGCTTGTGGCACAGCGGGCTTTCTTGACTTACTAAAATATTTCTGACTTATATAAAAGGAGCTTCTTTCTTCTTAATTAGTATTAAAACTAAAGTATTCTAGGCAAGAAGGCCGAGTAGTATTAGTATTTTGCAACTTCACCGCACCAAGTTCGAGATCTTGAATTTTGCGTGTCACAGCAGTGCATTATAGCGCAACCATGTTAGCTATAAATGTCTGCATAAAGTCAATACCTAGAACGCTGTTTGCGCCGGCATCGAAATGCGCTAAAGTGTCTTGTAAAGATAGCCTACTCAGGAAACTGCCCAAAGAACCACTGCACCTACAAAAACATTAAGCTCTTGGTAAGATAATTTTGCCTAATTTTGAAGCTCCTGAAGCTTTCGTTTTGCAACGGGCTTTCTCTCACGCTGTTTTTTGAGGGCCCGGATAATGTGACTTATGTGCAGCATAAGCCGTGCATAGTAAAACTACCGTCGAAAATACAAGCGGCACATTTCAGAGCCAAATACTTCTTTGGGCAGACTGCTGTTTAACTTATCTTTCAGCACAGCAGTTACGCGGCACAAATGCGCGACCACGCCCCTATGTGTTCCACAAAACATTCCTTCATGTCCTCCACTGCCTAGAAAAAGAAAACAACAGAAGGCAGCGTCGAATCGGCAAAAAGACCGCCTTCCTTACCGTGAGACTGAACCACGGCTAAGGTTTGGTGGGAACCTGGGAATGCCGGATCACCACTCCTTAGGAACGACTCGCAGATGCAATCTGCTGGCCTATTCTCAAGTAATCGCGGGGCGATGCCACTCCCAAAGCAGTACAATGCATTATACTCCGTGGCATCAAAGAGGTCTTCACCCGAGGTCTCGCTTGGGAAAAGCGTTTCTGTTACCACAACCTGACGAGTTTGAGGCTCACCTAAGTTCAACCCAGCAAGTAGGTGCGAATCGAGAACTTCGAAATTCCCGCGCGATTATGAGTGACAGTTTCCCAACGAAAACGTGTTTCAACGCAGCGATAAATTAAAACACATTGGGATGTTCACTGCAGCCACGCTTCTGCCTCAAAGTGCCGAATAGGTTCTCCAGCGAGTCTTGCTGGAGGCGACGAGTCAGGAGGAAAGTAAAGTTAAAATTTTTATGAAAGTCTTCCTCCGGCATAAGGACCGCCTGTATGGTGACTAGCTAGCCACTGATGGTGTGCAACTGTCTAGGGCTGTCAAATATCCAGCACGATATGAATTTGATTGCCTCTTGTAAGAGCGCCATAGTGCTCTGAGGTGGGACTTAGAGCATATTTCATTTTGCCAGTAGTACTAGCAGTGGCAGTTTTTGCTACTGAGACAATCAAATAGCTTGTGGATCTGTTTTATAAAATCTGCAGTTGATTTAGCAGTCGCAGGTAACTTCCCAAGAGCAGTCATGACTGACATAGCTACTGATACAGACTCGATCAGGACTTGCGCCGTGAACTTGACCTTCGTGCAGTTGAAAAACCTCTGTAAATAAGATTCAATGTTAATTTTATCATCAATTTTTACTTTGAGTGGGTCAGAGAACTCAAACAGCTCGCGAATGGAGCTCCAGTCCACAATTTCGTTGCCAATAAAAAGCTTGCGAGGGGCTCGAAGGTTATTTCTTGTGCACTTCATAAGATGTGGAGTGTCGAATAAGAAATAAACTTTGTGTCCGTTTACTTCAAAGTAATGATTTTGTGGTGTGGCTGCAAATTCATCAAATAATTTAATATTACTTGACCCCTGATCGCAGACGATGGCTTTGACATACAGCTCGCCTTCTGCAAGTTGCGCTATCAAGGCTAGTAGCAATCTATGAATCTTTTCCGCATGCAGATCAGTTTTGGCAACAGTGAATACCACTGGCATCACCCACTATCGCGATATTCCAGAAAGGAGTACTACAAAGGTTACATTTGCCACCACTGTTATCCTCTCTGAGCCATCATCTGAAAATCCAATGACTACGTCATGTTTTGTGCCATACTGTAAATTTAGTCTCACTTACATTTCGTCAAATACAATTACGCATGACCGATATTCTATTGGGCGATTGTCGGATACATCTTTAGGAATGCCAAATACATCAGAAATAATTCCGGGTGTCATTGGAATTTCAGATAACCACTTTCGAAGGGACCTCGGTGATGCCAAAACGAATGGTTTAGCGAGTTAGCGGTACGAACTCGGCCCATGAAAATACATATTCAAGGCGAATTCCTTCACCTCTCGAGACCACCTTCTTTCCTTCCTCTGGCGACAATGGAAGGCCACTTGGCTATCCAAGAGTTTTGTATTACTCAGGGCTCAAATGAAGCTTCAACTTGTCAAGCGTTTCCCGCGTACTAATTTTTCGGCGGCTTTTTATCCTCACTGACTTCCGATACCTTTGCCTATCATTCTTAAGTCGTGATATGATGGTGGCGGTCATCGGTGAACAAAGCTTTCTCTTTGGGCCTCGTTGAGATGGCGTGAAAACTGTAAAGAGAGAATATAATATGTCCCTGGGTCAGCATAGGTACACGGGGCGAGCACAGCGTCTTCTCTATAAAAAAGTGTCAGGTACTTTGGTAAAGGGAATTTCGTTGGCGACAGATGAACACCAAATATTATCACTTCGTATTATTGATGCGTATTATAAAAGTCTTTGACATACACAATTCCTAATTTTTGTGAGTGATTAAGCTGCCTCTAAGAATATAACGCCTATTTAGATAGATTGTTGTGGTTATCAAAACCACTATTGATATTAACAGTGCTTCGTGATATGGCATCATACATGAACGGTATAGCATGAGATAAGTGCTGGAAGATACATTTTCATTCATGGTTTGCTCGGACTTCTCTTGATATATTCGAGCTATCACAATTAGAGCATGTTGTGCCGTTGCAAATCAGTTTCGTGTAATCCCACAAAATGGCGAAATAGTTACAAAGAAAGAAAAGATAGACAACCACTCGTATCTGGCGCGAAGCTGCAACTAAGAAGCTTCCTTTCCGAGAAATACGTATGGATTTCGTTGGGGCTGTGTGCCACAATCGGGTGTTTGTCTATGATCCCTTATTTTGCGTATAATGTCATTGTTTACAACACTCTAAAAAAGTTTAATAAAAAGAGTGTCTTTTTTTTTTCACAACAATAATTGTCATCCGCCTTGCTCGAGTTTCCTTTATTGAAAACTCGGCGCCTTCCTATCACCTTCCTATCAAAAATGTTATGACACGCTGATAGCGCGCGTATTGTTCGTGAGTGCAGGCCGCATGGCTTTATTGCAGGGAAAGGAACACAAGATAGATGACGTATATTGTTGTGAAACAAAACGACGCCATTTACACTCGATATTTTCTTAGTTAACATGATCCATTTAAGAATTTCCCTAACATTCATTGTTTAAAAAGATGAAACCACTGCGTTCAGTTACAAATATTAAAATGACCAAACATTACTAACACGTACACAAAAAAACATCACCAAAACGGGTCTTCTTACTTGGTTTCTCCTGGTTGGATATTTCCGGGCAAGGCGCAAACTCATCCGAACGGCCACACGTAAAAAGGCCAGAGGCTCCAGGTACTGGGGATTCAGGGTCAACCGGTGTCTGGCTGGAATCTGTAAACGGAAAGAACGTCGAGCGCAGGGTATTTATATTTGTTCACACAATTATATATATATATATGGTTCATGTGCCCAGCTCCGGCATGCACACAAACAACGATTAAAACACCTTTTGCTTAGAGTACATTACAGAATCTGAAAATATGCAAACTGGTGCCGCAATAAAAAAAACAGAATGAAGATTAAACACACGAGGGAAAACTCATAATCGCAACTGGCATTTTCTTTAATCAAAGCCACATGAAGAAGACGGGTAATAATTTCTATTTTTAATAACACGTCAGTTGCGCGTACGCACTTGTTTTTGTCTGTTATTTCTTCATTCTGTGGGCGTTGTGCTGCCAAGCAATTTCGACATGAAACCCTACCAAGCCTTACAAATATTTACACTGCTAAAGTATTTGTGGTTCATGTATGTCCTAGCCCTCCATATCACCCGCTGAAGGCATCGAAGTAGCAAAAATTCAGTAATGCTTGTAGTATGCAAGAAAAAAGTGCATTTATGGATATTTATCATTACTTTTATCGTACACCTATATATACCATGACCAAGATGAGACGGTGATTCAGGGGAGAGTGAGCTAGCTGCTTTAAGACCACCTTCTGGAAAAAAAAAGTAGCACTTAAGTTCGCATGTTTTGGATAGCCTCAGCACGTTTTCCATAAAATGGCGTTTTTTTAACTCAAGTGGTTCAACAGCGATTGTACCCCCCCCCCCCCCCCCCCCTATGACTTCTACTAAAATTATTCCTGTAAGTTACAGGAAGCATTGCTTAACGTTTTATTGCTGTTGTACATTCACTTAACACGTTCACCATTAGTGTTCTCTTATTTTCTGGCTCAGATTACTGTAGTATTGCAGAGACTTTTTTCTATTTACTTTCGCTTTACATTTCGTACACTGCCCACGAGAGGTAATTTGGTTCTAAACAAAACAATTTAAAAGCTGCTGTCTACCGGCACATGCACACCGGCTCCTGTAAAATTTCTATCATAAAGCACCAATCAAACTGATGAATATCATCGCAGCGCGTGCGCAAGACTTGGCTTTGTCGTATTGAATTGTGTGGTTTTACGGACACGATACGTGCGCGAGACATGACGTAATGAGCGACTGCGAACAATCTTGACCGCTTGAGATGTGCGCCAACTTCGCCCTTATCGAGGAGTGATTTAGTCCCGCGACATCTTGTCTCCAATTGCAACATCATGTCCGATACACGCCAACAGCGGGTGATTGATGTATCGTTTACAGCAAGGCCAAGAGTGCTGCGTCATACGAGCGTGAATTCTGTCGTTGTGAAAAGAAAATATTCTCATCTTTCGCTGCGCCAGAAAGATGAAAAATATTCACTTCGTTAACCACACAAGCAGTTCGGAGCACCTTTTACCACGCATGATCTTACAATAGAAAAAATGCAAACAAAAATAACGCAACTCAACGGCGCACGTGGAAAAAGTTTCGCTGCGAAACGTCACGCGATGCCATGGAAGATGACGTAAAAAAAATTGCTTGTTGAAGTTGAGCTTTGCGCCGTACAATGCATACTTGTTTTACACAAAGCAAGCATACGCCACGCCCTTTCTTTAACACCCATAATCAACAAGCCAGCCTGTGCATACCTGCAATCTGGGCGATGCTCTTTTGGCCAAGGTTGTCTTGAGCCACAACCACCATGGCTTCTGCCAGGGAGGTTCCTTGAAGATAGGGCAGATATCACTCTCGTTTCATTAGGTGGCGAAGAAACGCATTTGTACATTAAGGTGGTAACATCAAATACAATGTACAGGACACACCTTGAACTCCTGCGTAAATAAGGAACGTTAATTATGGATCAGGTGATAGGGTGTGCGAAAACGAACTACAAAAGCGCACATATTCGCAAGCGCTAATAAATTGTTTTTATTACCTTAATCGGTCGGGGATCTCACTTCCACTGCAACAGTGGGAACAACCATCCACATGAGCCTTGTTTTGGCAGTGTTTGCAAAGGCACTTTCCGCGAAGTGGTCAGAGCAGAGCTGGTAGTCGTTTGTACATTTGCGCCCCTGTGAGTCCTTCGAAGTTTGCCCTTTTCGTGTATTTCCGCTATACGTCACACCTAGGAAATGCAACCAATAAAAGCATGGATATAAAGAAAATGTAAAAGTGACACAAATATAGAGTGCGAAAAAGGGCGCAAACAATGTTTCACAGGTTTAAAAACGAAGCGCAGCTTGGCCTTAGCGCCGGCAACACAAACTTCTCGTAACACGGAATGCAAGCAGTCACTGCTACGTAAATAAGTTGGGGAATTCTATCTTAAACGTTGAAATGTTGCATTGTTAATACAAGCAACTGATCATCGGAATGCTCTAAAGCCGAACCAGTTAGTCCAAGAACATTCGGCAAACACACTTTGCAGATTTTGAAAAAAAAATATTACAAGCTACCACAAACAAAATCGATACTGCAGCGATATTTTCGTCTGCACGTCAGCTGGCACCGATCAGTTTACAATAAACTGCCCACAAGAGTTTTACATGCTTACAGAATCACTGACAAATGCGCAGTGCCAATAATAAAAAAGGAGGTTCACTGTAAAGCAACAACCGATATATTTCGATTCACCCTGTAGCTGTTTTGATAAGGATAACACTTGCTTTTTCGTACCGAAAAAAAAAGTGCATGTGCTTACCTGTCGTCCGCTGGAAAGCGGGAAAATTTTGCGGCGCTGTTTCTCCCCGAGTTGTTGCACCACAAAGCAGCGCAGCACGCTTTGTGTCTTTTTCCTATATGTATACTTTCGTCGACATTTCGAGCGTGTTCGCACTCACAAATACCAAAATTTTCACTTCAAAGCATTCTAAAAAAGTTCCCGCCTGCACAGGAAAAACGGCAGAAGCAGACGAGCGGAATGACAGCAGAATAGATAAGAGCAAAAGCGCCACTCATCGGCGCAACGAATGCAGGGTCTGGATACATATATAGGGTGTTAAAAATAGCCAATTACATATTTTATTTCTACACATTTGCGTAAATATACTTTATTGGTGCGAAGGTTAGAAAGAAAAGATCACACATGCAAAAGTCGCTGAAATTTTGCTTTCTACCAAAACAATGGCGGACGCCAAATTTCAATACCGAAACTAGTCGAAGTGTCCGGCCCCTGTGATAAGTTCATTGCGCATCTTGCGTGGCTTTTCTGTTTCTTATGCGTCGTTTACTGGCGTGGCACTTCAGGGAAGTTGAACTAGCTCACGGAAGGAGTAGATAACCGCCCCTGCGGCTGCAAGCTGCCTCGAATGGAACGCGGCTGGCCTGCCTTCGCTTTTCGTGATGAAACATTGTTGGTTGCCAAAGTGGTACTTTTAAGGCTGCTCTTTCACTGCAGTGGTCTTCCTCAATTAGGGATGGCGAGATTTCCAAGTATTTTTATATATCGCGCTCCTGGGCTATTGTAACATATCTTTTGTTTCTTCATCGCAAGGTATATTGCTGTATACTGCAAGTACACTATCGCCTAATACAACAACCGTGATTATTTAATCTGTTTTGCTGATCTTCCTTTCTCTGGTGCCCGCCATCGGCGAGCCACACAAAGTTATTTTAAAAACTATCTATTGCTTCACAATTTGAGAATACAAACAAACTCACTTATATAACAAGGCACCTCCCATTTTATGGCCAATGCGCCAAGATGGGTTGCGCCAGTCCATTAAGAGTCCACTAAGCAGCCCACAAACCATAACGACGCACATTAGTTGCATTGTTATCAAGAGGATGTGAAACACTATCAACAGTAAAAACTTCAATTTCAAGCTTTCTATAGCGCAAATGAGCGATGTCACCCCCATGTCTGGATGGGAAGTCATACTTTTTTATTGTTGCCTGCTCTTAGTTGTCTTCGCAATACGTAGATGGTGACGGCGGCAACAGGCCAGCAAGTACTTGATATGCTTTTGTATGAAACTAACGTTACTTGTTTCTAAATACCTATGTAGTGTAGTCCGGTCATGGCAAGAACCGTTGCCCACACATACACTGTGATTGGTGTTAGAATGAAAGCCTCTATAAATTTAAATATCACTAAAATTGAACGCTTACTCTGTTTATACAAAAATTTCCTTTCATTCATGGTTCAGCTGATGGGGAAGAAAATAAAGTTCCTTTCTAGTAATTCACTAGTTCAACAGAAAAGAGAAGAGATAAATGCAGCCCCTCCCTATCTTTCTGATACTTTAATTCTGTACTTACATCTAATAGAAAATCAATTTCTGTGCTGTGTTTAGAGTGGACGCGTTTTCGGCGTTACAGAGCTTGCGCATAGACATTCATGATGGGAAGATTTTTAAATAAGCATCAGTTTTAAGCGAGCGTATTTTCTGTCTGTGCGCTATATTCCCAACCACTTACGCGCTCGAGCCCCTAGACAAAATACTGAACTAAGTGCCCCGACAATTCCCTCCTTTGAAACCACTCTTTCCAATTATAGTCGTTAATTTCACTGTCGTAGGTAAATATTAGGAGATGAAAATGTGAGCGTTCCGTCTTCGAATTTGGCGCCAGGTGCTGCTGACCCGAATGTCATGGGTTGGATCTCGACCCCGGTGGTACCTTTTCGATGGAGGTGAAGTGGTAGAGGCCCGGGTACTGCGCGATGTCAATTCACGTTAAAGCATACCACATGATTGAAATTTCCCTAGCCCTCCACAATGACGTCTCATGATCATATCGTGGTTTTGAGATGTAAAACCCTCGGTGTTCTTAGATAATTGTGTACCGAGACTTCAGCACGGAAACAGTGCGACATCACGACTCCTAGTCATGGCGCGTCTTTTGGCCACATTGGTTCAGAAAACGTACTATATGCAATTCGCTGCTGGCCCACAACATAATGTAAGACAGTTTAGGCTTAGAACAATTGCGCCTAGCCTACTGCATGAAGTGCAAGTCAACGTGGCTACCTGCATTTCCTTTTTATCCAATTTCTCGCCATCAATGAACATCTGGCTGTAAGGTTTGTCCATTGTGGTATAGCGAAATTGTAATTAGTAAGTAGGAGAAATCTTTTTTTTTCGATTGACAGGAAATTTCGAACCAGACATAGAAAATGAATTCTGGCGTTGAATTCGTGCAGGAGTTCTCAGCAAACATGTTACCGTAAGCATCATTCGAAACGGTGCCGCAGTATCAAAGCTACACACGTTTTATGACCGAAAAGAGATCCTCACTCGTTTCGCTCTTTCCTTCTTTATGCTGCGTTCATCAGCTCGTCTCTCCTAATGTACCCGTATGTTGTGCATACAGATACGCTATGAAAGATGCCATAGGAAGCATAAATGTGTAACTCCAGTCTCTTCTACGTTCAGCACGAGTGCGCAGCAATAAAGACTCGGACAAGAGAGAACAAAGGTGTGTGCACAGTCGGAGGGGGAACACAGGGGGCACCCCTATAGTCGCCTAGGGAATGGCGCAAACTCCACCACATATATCGACTCAATTAAAAGGGGGTGTTCCTCACCCCTAAGAAGACACTTGCGCAGGGCTATGAAGAAGGCCCACTCAGCGTACACTGCTAAGTGCCTCTTCTCTCTTCTCCGCGTCTTTTTTCGCTGTGAAGTCGTACTGAAGTCATAAATTACCAACTACCGAAAAATGCATCTCTCTCATCTGCGCATTGCTTCTCATTGCTGCGCGAAAAGGAAGAATGGTCCGTGCACTGCCCGCAGGCGAGCAGACAAGCATGTTCTTTTCGGCGCTGTTATGACGAGATGCGGTTTTTCGACGACACGAGCAACGCTGGAGAAACCTAAAGGCCTGAAGAGGGGCATGTGGATATTTTTCTGTTTACCCGTGGGCCGTAAGTGTTAGTTATTGTTGGTTGAAACGGCTTTCTGAACTTCATAAATGTCTGTGTCTGACATTGTTGATCGTGACGGCTCTCTGAACTCCAGCCCAAGCGTCTTTGCTTGAAAGGCTGAAAAAAATAGTGGATCTCGGTTAACGAATGGAGCCTCCAAGAAACACAGTAGCACAAGGAGACTCTTTAGGAAGTATCTTCCAGGAACAATTAGCCCTCATACACTCATCTGTAGCATGATGGAGTTGCTCTAGCTCGAGTTTCGGGACACAATTTTCATACCAAGCTCACCCTGTCTGAGTGTGGATACCGTAGGACGCTACTGTTTTATTCCTTTCATATAAACGCACGTAAGTACAAAAATGAATGAAGGAAGATCTCCTCTCGTCCCTTGAGGCCCCTCCGAAACAGCCTTTTGTTAGCACCTCCGCTGGAGTTGTGCGCACGCCGGGAGTTCTCATCGTTTACTTGGTTATAGGTAGAAAACTTTTTAAAGGGGCTACGTGCTCCCTGAGCCATGCATAGGACGCTTTGCTTCCGTCCTCGCACCTTGAAGTTGAGAAGGGTTACTGTTCGGCTGAATTGGTATTTCGCGACGACAGTCATAGGCGTGTGCACAGGGGGGGGGGGGGCGCAAAGTCAGTGCCATACATTGACTTATGGTAATTTAATTTTTATTTAGTACATACTTCAGACCACATAGTGGTCCCTGCAGGATTGGCATACCTAATTGCACACAGCTAAACATATACAGATACAAAATAAAGTATACATAAACATTCATATAAAGACATATTCAAAGAAATGAGACAAAATTTTAATAGAATGTTCATAA